TATATATCCAATTAATGTTAAACTCATAAAATAATTGCGATAATCATTATTGTAACAGGAATTGAGTGAAACTATTGTATTGAAATTGAGAAAATGCACCTTTTTAGCACTTTTCTGGTTGCCTTAAAAATGACTTCAAGTCTGAATCTGCGAAAATAAGCGAAAAGTGTACATCAGATTTAATCAATTGTGCAATTAATTAATCCACATTAATACTTTTCTAGTCACTAAAAGCATTGGTTCAATATATTATTGCAAATATGTTTTCTACATATTAATTGCATTTAAGTTTTAATGTATGATTTTTATATAAAAGGTTTTTTCATCAAAAAGGTTTTGCTGTTAGAATAATATTTAAAATGTTTAAAAGTGTGTATTTAATTGCTTACATATTAATATTGGCTAACCCTTCAGTGCCAAACATAACATAATACCGGTCGGCATTATTACAGCAACTAATAACACTATCTACTGATATCCACACAATTAAGTTATGTTATATAATAAATGTATTTTTGAATTCAAGGTTTCGAAACAAAAAAATTGTTAAAAATATATTTCAAAGCCTTTAAAATAAACTTTGTTTGCAATTGTGTTAACACTTATACTCAATTTTTTTGTTAATTTAGCAAAATTTTGCAAATTTAGATCAAGTCAATAATTTTAGTCTAATGTCAACACATGAACCTAAACTATATGTAAACTAATAATAAAATGCATTGAAAGACATAATAAAGGGTTAATTGTTTGGTTAAAAGTACGGACACTCAGACTGTGAGCGCAAGTGTGGACTCCAGACTGTGAAGTGCATAGAGACTGATGTGAAGGTCACGAGAGATAGTTATGTAATAGTTATCACACGTTAAGCGCATGCAATCATAACTGGTTTTGTGCGCCGACGACAGTGGCGTGACTTTCATGCCATGCAATTATAGTTGAGATACAAGTGAACGCCAGTTATTGTCTGAACACCGGATTTACATTATTGTTCATTCAATTTACCTGTAAATTACACTTTTTCTCTTAACATTCACTTTTGTTTAGTCGTCTAAAACTTTTGACACGTCTATCATATTAGTGGAGATATACTATCAGTAATCAAGTAATCGTATCGACAGTGGAGTTGATTGTAATTTAATTGGGTTTTTAGGTGTTTGAGTCACACATCCAGTGAATGGTATGATAGGGAGAGTTGAAATCAAACGCCGATTGTATTTCATTCAACACGTATTGGTTATGCAATTGTGAAGTATTTGTCGACCGAGTGTTCAAATTATTGTATTCATTGCTTCCTAAGTGCTTGAAAGACAACTCAAGCCTACTATTGCTGTGCGGAAAGTGAATACAACTCAACACTACATCACTTATTACTGTTATATATATTTTATCATTTGTTAGATTATTTTTATACATTATTAATAATTATAAAAACTAATCTTAATAAGTTTATATCACATTTGAAATTCTATATATAAATACGTTATTTTGTGGCAATAAGTTTTGAACTTTCAATTTATTGAAAGTATAAGTGCTTTGATTTTTAAATAGTAGTCATCAATAGTAGTAATTAAATTTTGAAAATGATTTTACTTAAAGTCATTCAAAGGGGCTCTTGTTTTGTGATTAAAGCCAACTTCTCGACAACCGCTGTCACAAACAGACAGGTAATGTATTGATTAAATTTACTTTTAATTGTAATGTAACATAATAATATTTTTAATATGACAGTAATTTTTTAATTTATAATTCAATTTGAAATTTAGGCAGCGATTGATTTGTCGACCCGAATGTTGGCAAAGAGTATAGCTTTGAAGCAATTAAACTATCAGTCGAGCCAATTATCTACCATCGATGCCAATTCCAAAGACTCATCCAATGGGCTGAAGAGTCGACCATTAGTGGTACTGTTGACGTGGTTGATGGCACAGGACAAACACGTGGACAAGTATAGTAATCTCTACCTCGAGAAAGGGTTTGATGTGCTGACAGTGAAGACCAATCCGTTTGATCTATTGTTCCCGACAATCGGTTCCCGAAAAATAGCCCAGAATTGTGTGACAGTACTCCAGAAAGAGTTGACACAGTATTCATCGGTAATACTTCACGCATTCAGTGTCGGCGCGTATCAGT